TAGGATGCTTAGAACTCTTCCTATAAATAAAAGAAAAATAATATATATATTAGTGAGCAAATGTTCACTTTCTACTTTCACATTAAATTATAAATAAGCTATAGTATTTATGTGTAATTATACAGTTGAACTTTTACAATTTAATACTATTTTATATTTGTAAAATAATATTTGATAAAGTTCTTACATAATATAAAAATTGGCTTCTTAAAATAAGAGCTTAGGAACCTATAAAGCCATTTTCCATTTGAGGGATAATACATTTTACATGTTAATACACTATAAATTAGAAATAAAAAGTATGCCATGTTTCATTATAAGTAGAATACCTTCCTGAATATTTTTAGTGATTATATAAGGGAAAGGGAGGCATTTAAAAGATAAAAATGACAGCTACCAGCTAAAACTTGCTCCATGGAAATTATTTGCTAAGTACCAATAGGACTTCAGTGAAGGGATTGACTGTCCATTTTACAGGTTTCAAAAACTGAGGCTTAGAAAAGTGGAGTAACTCACCTACATACACTCAGTAATTATCTCAACCAAGACTTGAGTCCACTGTTAAGGGCTGAATGTTTGCACGTTCTGCTCTTCAAATAGTATGTTGAAGCCCTAACCCCTAATGTAATGATGTTTGGAAGTAGGGCCTTTGGGAAATACAAGTCTAGGTTTAGATTTGGCCATGAGTGTGGGACCCTCATGATGAGATTAGTGGCCTTTTAAGAAGAGGAAGACAGCTGCTCTTTTTTTTGTTCTCTCCAAGGCATGTCCCGGGAGAAGGCCATCTGAGCACACAGCCGGAAATCGGGAAGCAGGCTCTCCCCAGGAAAGGAATCTGTGGGATCCTCGATCTTGGACTTCCCAGGCTGCAGAGAATTAAATTTCTCCTACTGACACCACCAGGTCTACGGTATTGTGTCATAGCAGCCCAGCAGACCAATACCACCACATTGCTAAAAATCACTATATCGCTTCTACCATATGAAAAAGAAATGTCACCTTAATGAGAAAAAGCTGATTTCTTTACTGCCCCAGTTCTAACGCTAAAACCCACAAGGGATTTTTCTCTTGGTTCAAATAACATTTTATTAGAAATTAAGTTATAAAAGTATATGATAAGCTTCGTCACCAGAGAGACCTAGATCTCTCTCTCTCTGCAGAGTGCTGGTGGGAGCTCTGTGGGGATCCTTTAGTGCCTCAGCATGATCGGAACTCTCCGGGGCACTGCGCTTTCATGAGCACTATAAACCGGCACGAGTACTGAAGGAAAGACTTGACAAGCTCTCTGCTCTGACCCAGAGTCTGAATGTTCCTTGTCTGAGCTCCCTGGTAGGAGATTTTCTCAGATTTTCACTCATAGCCAGCAGCAACTGTACATGCTGCACAGGCGGTGCTTGAGGCTCCTGGAGGGATGAAACGCCTCATCATCACTTGGCAACCACTTTGGCAGACTAAAGGGTGACATTGATTGGCTCTGAACAAGTGAGTAACAGAAACAGTACCCAAATCTCAGGAGGAAAATATCATAGGAAAAAAAAAAGAAGCAAGCCCCTTTAACCCAATCTCGCAATGTTTCAGATCCAGAAAATAAATGCAAATCCATTTGCAGTGGGAAATCCAGTCACTCGAATGAGGGTTCTGACAAAGTCATCCTTAGAAAGTGACACATTAGTTATTTTACTCATTCATTCACTGTGTACTGAGCTCCCACTGTGTGCCAGATACTGTTCCAGGCCCCAGGGATGCAGCCCGAACAAAATGTCCCTGATCTGGAGGAGAAAGACAAATAACTAGATAACAATCAGGTGGTGATAAGGCCAAGGAAGACAAGTGAAGTGAAGGAAGAAACAGAGTGTACTGTTAGCAGGGAAATGGATGCCATCTCCACATGGTGATCAGGGAAGGAAGGCCGGATTGATAAGAGACCTGAAGGAAAGGAAGGGGCGGGCCTTCCTGATATTTGTGGAAAGACAAACTAGCAAGAGCAGGATAGCACCTAAGCCTTTGGAAGACATCAAAGTGTCTGGAGCAGAGCAAAGCGAGGAAAGAGGAGGTGTAAGGGGTAGTGTGGGGCCAGGCCTGATGGGTTGTGCTAGGTCTTAAGCTTTACTCTGAAAGAGATGGAGGATGATTGCAGGGTCTTGAGCAAAGAGGTACCATGACAATGGGTCACAATTTAAAGGGACCACTCTGGATAAAATAATTTAGGAAGGAAGGTGGAAGCTGAGAAACCAGTTCAAAGTTACTCCAGTTGTTCAAGAAAGAGTTGATCATTTGAACCAGATTAAGGGCAGGGGGGATGATAAGAAATGGTCAACTCCAGGTATATTTTGAAATTAGAATGGACAGCCTTTGCTGGTAGCTTTTCATTTTTCATTTTTATTTATTTATGTTTACAAGTTATCATTTTGATATTAGTAAAATAAATGTAGATATATCCGAGTTATTTCCTCTGTAGATATACAGCAACTCATTTTCCAGCCTGATAGCTTTTTGAAAGGAGAATAGCTGTGTTAAGGGCAATGCTTGGATATGGTAGGTTCACAGCAAATACTTTGAAGGAAATAAATATTGAATAAATTAATGAACTAATAAACGTACTGAGAGTTGGCTGCATTTCAGAGGAACTGGCCTAATGCTTTCAGCTTATGCATGTACAGATAACAGTTCCACTCTGTGCCTCAACAACAACAGTATGCATGGGAACCCCGAAACACACACAGAACACAGAAACATACACAGTGTGTTTAGGCAGCAGTGTGTTTGCATAAAGGTTTGTCTAGTTAGGTGGGTACCTAAACATTTTAGAGGTCTAGTCTTAGATTTGGAGGTTTAAGTCTACGAAAGGGAAAGGAAACTCTTCCCTTCAAGGGCCTTCCTCTTTGTTTAGTTAGTACTGATTGATTGATTGATTGATTGATTGATTGAAGGAATGAATAAGTGAATGAGTGAATGCTCAACTCAGCTACTACTCTCTTCCATCTGAGCTTTCTCAACTATCCCAAATGATTTTTATAAATGAGTATAAAATTTTTTATAAATGATTTTTGTAAAATTGAGATTGATTTTGAATGACACATCTTTTATCATTACTGTTTTTACATTACTGTTTCCTCACAAAAGTGATATTCAAGATTACATTTATGTAACTTTACTGGAAATCTTTTCCTCTCTCACTCCTTCCTTTCTTTCAAAAAACTATTTTCTTTATGGGTCTGTGTGTTTGCAATGAAATAATGTTAGCACTCTTGTCCTAATCTTGAATCCACGTTGTATTATAAATGTGTACTATTTCTTCATTTTGTAATTAGAAAAAGAAATTATTCATAGCACTAAGGGAATTATAGTGGGTATTACTCATTGTATTACCTGAATAAAATGTTAAGGTTATTAATACCTGGAGATTACTGAGATTTCTATTAAAATTTATATTTTAAACCCTGAGTGGGTTTGCCCCTTTTTTAGGTACTACGGAAATAAATGCAATTAGACCATTTGTCATCAAGAAGAACAAGTACATAACAGCAGAAGAGAACAGACCTGCAGCTGGTGTGGCCACATTAGCAGGAGACTCAGAGAAGCCTTTAAGGTATAAGACTCTAATGTATGCAAGAAATGTGATGTCATTAACCAGTTAAACAAAAATCCTAAATACTTGTGTTAATTTCGAGAGACTCAATCTGTGTCCAGAGGATTGGTGCAGAGTCATACGATTTTTTAAAAGAAGGATGACAAAAGAAAAGGTCTTGGCATTTGTAGGTTGACTTGAGCAAGTTCCAAGGGCCAGCAACTGAAGGTGAACGCTGATTCTTTCCTGGCTTCTTCGCATTTTTTGGAATTGAAATGGATTAAATACCATGAGTAATTTGGAAGTTCTCTGGAGGGTAAGTTAGTGCTCTGATTAATACTTAATTTCTGATCATTCAACTGGAAAGATAGTTGAGCCACTTGGCCGGGGCAGTTTCTTGGGGTTGGGAGTGATATGCAGAGTCACTGTGCTTGGAACTTCATCAGTTTGTTCCTAAACCCTGGCAGAACAAATTCATCACTGACTTGGTCATTGCTGTTGCCTTTTCATGCTTAGGAAACAGGGCCTAGTCCTTAAATAACTACTCTCCTCGTCCTTAACTCCACCGCCCACCTTCCTCTCTCTCTACGCTCCCATTGCAAACTTTATAGAATATCCTACTTGGGATATTTCTAAAAATTAAGTGATGTAGTGTGCTATGCTGTTCTCTGAAAATACTCGAAGTTTTGAGTTTACAGCTTAGAAGGATTCCACTGGTATTTCTTTACATTCCAACTCTTACGAAGATCGTGCTTGGATAAGGTTTTAGCCTATGGGCTTCGGTGATTAAGAGTAATACAAATTATACTGGCATAACACTTGCCATTTCTCATATTCCTCACTAGAGGAATTCAACATCCTTCAGATATTTTTCTCTTTGTGTCAAAATGCTTTTTAGGTACGGTCGCTGGCTTATTTTCAAGTAGTTTACTTTTATTGTTAAAATACTTCAATAGTCATGCAAAACTAAATGTCTCTCATAAAATGATGATGATAAGAAGAACAGGTTTCACTTCTTTCACTCATTCTTTTCTCAGTCACCTAATAGGCCCTTATATCTTTGGGCTCCAGCGAATTCTATCGGGGCCTTGCATAATTACATGGATGGCCAAGTGCTTATGTGTTTTAATCCGCGGCTAAGAAAAACCACCTGTAGATAACATGTCAAGCTACAAATTAGTGAAATCAGCACCACATTGTAACCATGTTTTAGAAATAATTTTATGGTTCTTTAGCTTTTTATTGAGTTAGAATCCTTTTTTAAAAATACATCTTAATCACTCTTTCTGTATCCAGAGCACCAAAAACAAAAGTCATAGTGCTAAGCTTTTATAATTTTCAAGAAAATGGCATCTGAGATAATTATTTAAGGTAAATTTTGCAAGTATAGAAAAGAAACTTTTGGTCAATATTTCCTGATTCAGTAATACAGTAATAATAATTGCAAGTGATGAAGGTTCTTAAGCCACAGAAAATTACTAGCGTTTTTTTTTTCATACTTTTGTGTGGTATGATATTAAAAAGCTGTGAAGAAGGTTCTAGAAGCGTGTTTAAAATATATTAACAATAAAGTCAAGGTGTCCTTGTTTTTTACTGCACATTTATAGACCTTCAGCTCCTTAAAGTTCATGGCAATATTAGAATCTAATAATGCTGCCTAGCTCAAAGTTTGTTCTCAATTTATAGATAGAAGTAATTAGAAATCTTCATTTTAAACCATTCACAATATGGTCAAATCGTTGAGTGACATTTCTAAGAACTTTCTATTTAAATAGGAGGAACAAATAGATCATGTCACTTTCTTAACATTTGTAGTGGTAAACACCCTTCACTAAAACGATTGCTTTTGGCTTTCTTACAGAAAGAGTGATTAGAATATGGTTTTCAAAAAGAAGTTTCCCAACTCCCTAAAAATATGTTTTAAAGAACCATGGGGGGAAAAGGCACTAAAAACAAAAATTCTAAATTTTGCTAACACCTAATTACAATTGATGTCTTCTTACTCATCTGTAACTTCTTCAGTTGTTAACCAACAGCAAGGTTTCCATTGTCTTACCTCTTGCACCCATTTCCCCATTTCCAGGGTCCCTGAACCAGTCCTTAAGGACTCTGGAGCCTACTTGGTTTGCCACTAACGATAGGACCCTAGGTAACTCATTTAATGGCGTGGGAGCTCTGCGAAGCCCCTCATATATAAAACAGGAGGGTCAAGGGGGATCCAATTATATCTAACATGCCTTTTCCTCCAAATTTCATTATACAACATCCCAATCCAAGCTCCCCGTACCTTATCTTGGGAACCTGCCCTTGATGATCTGTCTAGCTCCACTCTGAGCTCTGGCATTTAAGGTTGTTTCTAGCAACTTACGTATGACTTTGGGGAAATATTTCTATTTTCTTTTGCCATTTATAGTTAAAACTATCACCTGACTTTCTCAGGCATTTCCACCTGTTTCCAAACTTGAGTAAAACCACCGTGAAAGCTGGAACTATTCTTATACTTCTTGGCAGAATTCTATGTGGGCAACTGGTCTTGTTGGCCGCAGGTCTCTTAGTCACAGCCACAGGTAATCCATTTCCTTCTTGGCTGTTAGGGAAGGGCCTGGTTAGCCAGCCCAACACATTCCGCGCCCCACCCCCCCTGCTTCCCTGCCTTTGCTCTCTGCTCCTGCCTCAGGCTGCTTGCCAGGTTGTACTGAGAGGATCAAATTAAGTGATTAAATTACCTTTGCAGTAGAGCCAGCAAGGGCACAATGCTATTTATCTGCCGTCCACTCCGAATTGGCCTTTTCTACATCAAAAGTTCTGCCTCCTTTGACTCTCAGTGGCTCTTTTTTTCCCCTCAGGAAACCTACCACGTCTCGGTGAGATTTCAGCACCAAATGACAAATTTTTAAAAATATTTTCACCTGTCCAAAGAGTCAGGTGCTAACCATATCCGAACACAAAATAGAATGGTTCAGAAAAGTTAGATATTTACGATTTTCACAGATATGGGAACTTAACTAATTTCATTTTAATTATACGGTTTCCCTGTAAGTTGATGCTTTCTTATAACTGTCTTCGCTGAGGTTAGTAAACGAAAAGAACTCATGAAGAAGTAAAATCTATACCATGTCAAGGTACATTTGGCAGAGAATGACTCATCTTCATGCTCTCTGTGTATGAAAGAATTCAGCTGGGCGGCCAGAGATCGGTAGGAGTGGGTTATTTACCTGGGAGGACCTGGAAAGCTTTTTACAGTGTCAACAGGATTGTTGTTAAGCAGCAAGTTGGCAAACATGGGAAGGTTGTCATTAAACAATGTTGGGATTCAGAACTGTTGACGTTTATTTGCTTTTCAACTCTTCAACAGCTCGGAGAGAGATCCAAGCTATCTAAAAGGGAAAGGCACACATATCATTGCACGCCCTCTCTCTCTCTCTCTTTCTAAAGCTCTTGGCAACCCTAAAGGTGAAGCCATCCTTTAAGTTGAGGACTTTTTCACACGGGCTTCCATGCATGGCCTTTGGGGGTTCATGAACTCCTGCAAATACATGTGGCATTTGCCGTATAATGATGGTCATCCATGCAGTCTTCTGTTTAGGAGGTATGGGAGGGCTGACATCTCTTATTAGATTTTAAAATGGGCCTGTGAAACAATACAAACTACTACTTTGGCGCCTAAATTGAGCAGCTTGAATAATGTGTCGTGGTGTATGCTGCTGCCATACACAATTTTTAAAAGCAGAACCAGCGAGGTAGACATGGAAGGAAGGGATGGAGCCCCCTGGTCACTGATGCAAAAGAAGAATAGTATGTTGGGAGCAATTGGTTGGAGGCCGAGAAAATTACTGTAGCGCCTCCAAGAATGGGCATCAGGAGACACTCATCTATGCACCTAGACCAGTGGTCGGCAAACTGCGGCTCAGCAAACTGCGGCTCGCGAGCCACATGTGGCTCTTTGGCCCCTTGAGTGTGGCTCTTTCACAAAATACTGACTTCTGCGCATAGGCCATGAAGTTTCAATCACACTGTACGTGCGTGCCCGCACGTGGTATTTTGTGGAAGAGTCACACTCAAGGGGCCAAAGAGCCGCATGTGGCTTGCGAGCTGCAGTTTGCCGACCACTGACCTAGACAAAAGTTTCTACCTATTGGTGCTTATTGAAGAGCTGAGAGCAATTCCTGCTTCTCTCCAGGTCTCACACCAATTCCTCTTCAGGTGCAAATGGGTTCAGCCCTTTTTGCTATTATGCTTGGCTCATCACGCAGTTCTAAGGCTTACTATCTCCAGAGACCTCTGCACAGCTCTGTGTTCACTAAATCAAGAGGAAGTGATGGATCAGGATTACTGCTGCTCCAGCCCCACATCGGGGTGGTTTCCCCAAATCCCATCAAGGTAGCTGACTTCAGAAATGGCCACCGAACATCTAAGACTTGGCCTCATTTCTGCTTATTTCACAGCAAGTGAACATCAGAGATGCCTTGTTCCACCTGGGCTGCACATGGGACTGGCGCTCACTCCTCCAGGTGGATCCACATTCATCCAACGTGTGTAATAACAACAACCAGCTTTGCCCCAGGAGGCCAGCTCTGCGTCTTTCTCTCCAAGGTAAGTCTCTTACTTACGGTACTTTTTTTCCCCCCTTTTGTCTTAGGATTCCTTCTATCAGAGAAAAGTTAGTTAAAAACCTGGATTCTTCTTTGTGTCTCTGGCTCATTTGTGAGCAGTACCTCACTTGTGTGGTCTCACAGGGCCATTGCCCTGCCAGTGTCTGATCGGCTTCGCTCTTCACAGCTTACAAACCAGTGACTCTAGGGCTGTTCCCTCCCCATACACATTGGCACCTCCACTCTTTTTGGGGGTGTGAGTAATCAAACTTTGACTTGCCTTGTAGTCTTTTTTTTTATTGTTGACAGTATTACAGGTGTCACCCATCCCCGCCCCTCATAGTCTTAACTTCCTTAAAATGGGTCTTTTGCTTCCCACGATCCTTTCAGCTAAATGCACGCGTGCACGCGCGCGCACACACACACACACACACATGCAGAGAGAGAGAGAGAGAGAGAGAGGGAGAGCGAAAGAAGAGAGAGACACAATCCATTTCCATAGAATGTGAGGGTTCACTCATGAAAAAGTCAAATTATCTGCCCAGCCAGTGTGGGTCAGTGGTTTATTCTCATACAGAGAGAGAGAATCGAAGTCCACACCAGCTTTTCCACTAGGCTAAAACCAAGATGTCAGCAGGCTGTGTTTTCCAGAGGCTCTGGGAAAATTCATTCCTTTGCCTTTTGCAGCTCTATCTTAAAAAACAGTAGCACAATACCTACATCTCTCTGACCCCTCTCCTCCTTAGAAGGACCCTCTGATTGCATTGGTCCCACCTGGATAACTGGATTACTCTCCCTGTTTTCAGATCCTTAATTTAGTCACACCTCCAAAGTCCTTTGAGTCATGTAACATCACATATTCATTGCTCCCAGAGATCAGAATGTGGACAGATTGAAGGGCCCTTATATTTTTAAAATAGTTTTTATTCATTTCAGAGAGGAAGAGAGAAGGTGAGAGAGATAGAAACATCAATGAAGAGAGAGAATCATTGATTGGCTGCCTCTTGCACACCCCACACTGGGGATCGAGCCCACAACCTGGGCATATGTCCTGACTGGGAATTAGAACAGGACCTTCTGGTTCATAGGTCTTCACTCACCCATTGAGCCATGCTGGCCAGAAACAGGGTCATTATTAATCCCTCCACAGTAATTTAATGATTACAATATAACACTCTAAAGAAGATATTGAATCTTTTAAATTTCATTAGACATCAAAATATTTACTTTTCGTTAGCCAAATCAATCCCAGCCAGGTCAGAGCTGTTACAGGAAATTCAAATGAGGAACTTTCCAATTCAACTTCACCAATGTGTTTTTGGAGCAAGTGTAGACTAGAATATGGAGAACATACAACAGCACTTTGGGTAAAAGAAGTTGTTGAAGTCATTTCTTCCCCGTCTGTGGATTTCCCCACAGATGTTGCAGATAAATCAGAACAAGGATGGAGCCATGCACGTGTGTTCAGTATTCCGCAAACTGTGCTAAAGCTGACAGGCCATAAAAACTGCTTCCCATCCTTGCTCCCAGGAAAGGAGTCATGTAGTGAGTTCACCCTGCACTTCTGACTTTCCCAGATTTTGTAACTTTATGCCCTCAGACATCTAAAACAACAAAGCCCGTGCCCAGCTCTTCAGGTGACGGGTGACCCTCCTTTCCCTGTTCCCTCTCAAGGCCTTCCTTCCCGCTGCTGATGAGTGACGTGCGACCAAGGCAGAGCAGGTGTGCGGTGTCTGCCCTGGGCATGTTGGAGCAAGACTGGAAGGAGGAAACTTGTTGTGTTTTTTTGTTTTTTTAATTTCTTACAGAAGGGAGCTGAAGGGCTGACAGACTCCCATTGGAAATGCACACACACCTGCATGTTTTGGTATTTTTTTTTGGATTGGGTGCTTTAGGCATTTTCAGAAAACAAGCCCCAGAGGAAAACCATCAATGTGAGAATGCCTTTGTGCTGTTCAATTTATTCTCAAACGCTAAGTAGCACTTTCTGACCAGGTGCAGAAATATACGTTTTTCCTTTTTCCTAAACACAGAACTAAATTGTATTACCTTTCTGGGCAATAAATCATGTTTTATAAATCAAATTTAGATAAAATAATCCGGGAGGAAATACTGATAATTTTAAAATACTCAGATATATCTCCCTCTTACTTTAGATTTTATTTTCAAAGGTTAAGAGTGAGAAATATCAGTATTTGAAAATTGAGATATAAGTATATAAATTACGCTTGCATGTGTCATAAACATGTAGCCTATCCAGAAATTAGCATCATTGAGTAAGAGAGCTATTTATCTCATTGTTTAAAACACATTTTTTTTTATTGATTTCAGAGAGGAAGGGAGAGGGAGAGAGAGAAATATGAATGATGAGAGAGAATCATTAATCAGCTGCCTCCTGCATGCCCTACACTGGGGATCGAGTCCTCAACCCAGTTATGTGCCCTGACCAGGAATCAAACCTTGACCTCCTAGTTCATATGTTGACATCCAACCACTGAATCAGGCTGGCTGGGCTCTGATATTTTTACCCACTTGTGGCCTTGGTACAGTTGTGTGTCAGTAAATTTATTTAAAAAGAGGCTCTACCAGGGAAGGAAAACCCTGATTTGTAGTGTTTGCCAGTTTCTATGGTGTTAATAAACATTCCCACCAAGGCCAATTTCAAGTCACCATCATGAAGTCACTGAAGTCAGGCGTGAGAAGAGATGGGCACAATTAGCTCTCCTAAGCAGATGTTAGTATCCACAAATAATACAACTCAGAAGATTCATATGGGTAACAAGGGGATATGTTCAGAATGAATGAATCCTGACTCTGAAAGGAGAACTATATATGATTTTGCTATTCGGTAAACCATGATAATATATCACAGTGTCTGTAATCAGGAACATGATTTCAGACTTTGGATAGTCTGGGTTTTTCTTTTCCTAAAATCTAGTAAACCTTTCCCCCCATGTCCTATCCTGATCATTCTCAGAGTCTGCATCTTATTTCAGGGGCTTTAATTAAAAAAGGTCACAGGAAATCCTGAGTTCTTATTCATACAGTTGACACCACGTATACTTTTTATACATGGAGTTCTCCCCAATTGCTCCATGTGAAGGACTTGATTTCCTTCCAATATCAGCTGAAAATCCCAGGTGCCTATTTGTTTGTGTGGAAATTTCCCGAGATTGCAGCTTTTAACTGTCTGACCCGAGTTGTACGTGTGTGAATTTTCCACTGTGTTGTATTTTCTGCATTTTCTCTGTTGTGCTAAGGCAAATTCTTTTACTAATGCACAAGAGCCTCTGTCTGCTCCCACCGCAGTCCCAGCCCTGCCCTTAGACCTGGGGAAGACAATTCCTTCCCCTGGGCTCCTGTGTTAGACATTTGACTCTAGTTACCTGCTGGCTGTGGCCCTTTCCACTGAGTCTGAGACCCCTCTTAACACCACTGTCTGGATGCTAGAGACACTGAACCTATTGGACCTGTATTAGCCTCTCTGCCTTGTCCATCCTTCAAAGAGTCAACTATTCCATCTCCCAAGATTTTGATTAAGGGTAGCTTTGTGGGTTTTTTGTTTGTTTGTTTTTAAAGGTTGGGCCTATAAAATTTTATTTTTTTCTTCCAATTTTACTTTGTATTGGTTTCAGGTGTACAGCTTAGTGGTTAATGGCTGTTTTTGTTGTGGATAGAAATATACCTAAGGCAGTGGTTCTCAACCTGTGGGTCGCAACCTTTGGCGGTCAAATGACCCTTTCACAGGGGTCGCCTAAGACCATCCTGCATATCAGATATTTACATTACGATTCATAACAGTAGCAACATTACAGTTATGAAGTAGCAACGAAAATAATTTTATGGTTGGGTCACAACATGAGGAACTGTATTAAAGGGCCAGAAGGTTGAGAACCACTGACCTAAGGGCTAAGATGCCTCCTAAATTTGAACTTGGTTTTCTAGGCAAAAACATAGGTTGGAACATATTTCATTAAACATCTGTTGGCTTTAACTTTTAAATATTTAGACATATAGTATATGGACCTTCATTTGTACTTTTGAACCAGACCCTGTGAATATTAGAGCAGGCTTCTCCAAACCACTGGTTAACAAAATGTTCTCTTTGCTCTTTAAAGTGTAGATTGCCTAGGCAAGTAAGGATGAGGTTTTTAACAGTGGTTTGGAAAAGTACCCGGGAAGGAGGCATGGGCATGGGAATTAACTTATCAGGAATAGAAAGCTGATGTTCCAATATCAATGTCAGGAAGATTGTGGCCAGCCTGGCCCTGGGAGCTGCCATGAGGACATATAAACATCAATGCCCAGACCAGCAGCAATACCAGTGGATGGCAGTGGTCTGGTCTTCAGGGCAGAGACCCTCTTATTTCTCCTCACTGCCTCCTGATTTTGCTGTGCATGCCTCACTCTCCTCCAGGAGTGCTCAAGAGGACTGTCCTAAGGGAGGCATTACAGGCTCCATGTGGGCTCTCAGGTCACCCTAACCTCATCTCTTCCATCAGGGGCAGTCTGGGATTTGCTGAAGGGAACCAGCCACGGGCGTTTTAAACTCCTTTGTGTGGGAATAGGCATTTTCTGCATGGATTCTGGGTTGTCTTTTTCACTGTGCAGCACCATGGTATTTTATGTCCCATGTCATCAACCTCCTTCTCACAATTGCCCAGCTCTAGACATTACAATATAATTGCTTCCTCCTCAAAATCATGCAGGTTACATACATGAACACAATATTTCCTGCAGCTTTTGCAGCAAAACCTATGTCAGGGTGGAAATCCAAGTTAAGACAAATTCTAAATTGGTATCATTTTATGTACTCAAAAATGTGTAATAAAAATTCAACATCCTGCCTATCTCCAAAGAGGTCTCCATTAGTGCATACATGACAGCAATGTTCATTTCAGTGGCAAGTGCGTCCTGTAAAAGGGATATTCTAGTATTTTCTAACTGTGAGGCTAAATAAAAATTATCCCGGATTTGGGGGGCACCTGAGGACTG